CGGCGTTTCGACGCGTTTTCGTATTAAAGAATAATGGAAACGCGTTCGGTTTGAACGCGTTTAAAGAGCATTACGAGCTTGATAGCAAAAACTGAGATAAACGCGTACACATGCGTTTTTATTTTCGTTCGAAACGCGTTGGTCTGCTCCAGACCTTTTCATGCGTTTAGAAATATACTCAACAATTAAAAGAAGCTATTTACCAGCCGCTAAAAATGCTTTTTGTTTATTATTTCTAATTTGTGTTAGTCAAAATATATTGAATATTTATTGGCATTATTTGGAAAAAAAGGAATGCAAAAAACAAGCCGATCTTTTTAAATTAAAATTTACTATTTTTTGTTGAATAGATGACAAAAAATATCCTTTTATTTTTGTTTGAAATAAGTTGATGCGTGTTGAATTGTCAATATATATATAACGATGTTTGAATTATTAAAAATTAAAAATATTGTTCAAATTATAAGTTTTCTACATTTAAAAAAATAATATTAATACAAATAGTTTTGTTTATATTTAATGATATAATAATAAATGGCCTTTTATTTGGTTTTATAAAGTAAAAAAAAATGAGTCTTTCATTTTTAGAAAATAAAAATTTGATGATTTTTTTTTACGTAAAAATCTAAGATTTTATTTTTTCCATATATTTCAGAGAAAACTGTATTATCTTCATTTTAAATTGTATAATTGTCTAACTTTAAATAAACTATTTTCATTCTTTAATTTCTCTATTTTGTAAAAAAATAAAGAAACTTAATCTTCTTTATTTTATGAAGATAAGGATTTTATTTTGAAAATGTAAATATTTTATTTAATAAATATTATAAATTTAAATATTTTACATATGATTATTTTATGAAATACAGATAAATCATAAATAAAATATTCATATTTATAATATTTACAAAATAAAAATAAATAAAAAAATCTTCATTTTTTAAAATTGAAATCTTAAAATCTTCATTTTGATTTCATAAATGTAAATTTTCTATTTTATGGATATTATAAATATAAATATTTTATTTATAATTATTTCACGAAGTAAAGATAAATCACAATATCTCCATTGTGAAACCTTATATTAAAGAGAGAAAAAAGAATTATTCATTTGGTTCAATGATATAGAAACACTTTCGAGGCATGGATGGCTCAGAGCTAGTTGTGCTTGGTTCGCAATCAGTTGGTCGCGTGTTCAAATCTCGGTTCAAGTTGTCGCTGAAAAATTACCATTCGGTCGCTGACAAGATTTGAGTCTTATATCATAGCTCGCTATGGTGCGTCGGTTCGATTC